AACGGAAGGCTAACAATAAAACTGAAGGGGATGTTCCCGATGGACCCTCAACTCCTCGATTCCGTTAAATTGCTCCATTGTCCCGTCAGCGTCGGTCGTTGGTCTTCATCCCTATACCTCCACCGTAATTATCCAATGATGTAACCAACAGTACCATGCCCAAAGTTGGTATTAGCTTTATCGGAAACGTATATAAATAAGTACTATATTGCGTGTGAGCCTACTTAAGTGCCCCAAGGCCAGATCTTGGCTTTCTCGACCGAACCAGTTTCCACCACGTTCCCTCGCCCGACACATGAAGGGTCGAGCCCCACTCATAACCATTGCACGCACCGCTTTCCACGCCAAAGCCGTAGCGCCATACGAGCAATTAAAATGTCTTACCGCGTCGCGTGCTAAGCAAAATTTTAAACCGTCACCTGTATAAATTCCTCGGTACCAATATTTGGGTCTGACGCCAGCCATAGCGATGCCGCCTCCACGTGTCGCCATTCACATACTACGTCAGCTGATGATAAACGTCGTTTGTCCCACTCCCTTAGGGATATTGCTGGAGATTCTCCTGTGTTCCTTGGAACGGTGCTCGCATGTGCTCTCCCGGGATTGACGTGCTTGAGCCTTGGCTGTGGATGCTTGGAACTGCTACTCTCTGACTCGGTTGCATCTGACTATCTTGTTGGCAGGAGCAAGCTTGGACCTATTTAGTAGTCAATTGAGATGAAGGTCTCTGCGTTTGAACGTCTTCACCTCTTGCTCTTGTACGTTCGCTAGCTGACCTTGTCACTCACGCCTAGTTTTGTAGGAATTCACGATACCGAGCTCTACTGCCCACCTTGTCTTTCCCCATCGAGTCTTCGACCTCATCTCTCTCACGGCGGGGGCAATTGTTCTCTGTATGGTAGTACCATTTATACCGATGACACCAATCAATGTGGGGGCATACTATCTCCATTGTCCAGCATTCTCCTTGTGGGGACTGAATTACTAAGTCGTCGTCGATATGGGAGCGTGACTCTCACAACATCTAAAACTTAACATTCATCAGCTTCGATCTGTTCTGGTCATGCCTTGGATTATGCGTTGTGAAGACTTCTATGCCCTAACGCTCTTCAAATAGTAGTAGGTTTCCAATATAGTACTCTTAAAACCATAATATAAAACTTAGTCTCTGCTTCCTGAATCCGTACATCCTGCAACTCCTATTAGGATAGTCGCGGTTTGAACAACACCAAGTATTTTTTGTGCTCCAACTTGATCTTCACCTCTTCTTGCTATACCATTCATTCTGCTATCTCCTTCGCCTTGGCAACATAGGAAGCGACATCAGGTCCCTCAAATTTTACCCGACCCGGTTGGGCTTCTGGGTGGAATAATCATTTGACCGTCCACCCATCTTCAAAGGCACGGATAAGATCCTCTTTGACAAATCTAGCCAAATTACAAGGTTCACCCTCGAAAATAACTATGATAGTCCCTCCTTCAGAAACTGCTCCTTCACTTTATTTACCATCTCGTTTACTACAAAACGCTTGCACTCTTCATCTTTCATTACCTCTCCCAGGTGAACATCATCCGGGCAGACATCCTCATCATAACAGCGAGTGATGAATGCACAAACTTTGGCCGATTTTCCTCCAGCGTGAGAGGATTCAACAGGTGTTCTGTTGCTAACCTTGCATTCCTCGCAATTGTGCTTCGATCCCTCCAGTTCTTTTACTATGTAAGTGCGAAATTACTGTACCAAAGATGCCAGGAAGACAAATCGTCGTTAAGGGTGAAAAGCCAGTTACAAGAGTACAACAAGTAGACAAACAACTTGCGAATGGCATGACCAGATCATCCTATCTTTGGTTATTCAACCTGCTTGTGCCCAAACTTAGTGAAGACCTAGTTACCCTGCCTCCTTAGATTAAACACATTTCTTTACAAAAATCATTGCTGGCCACGCCAAAACACCAAACCTACAATTGACCCAAAACTCCCAGTCGCCTTCATCGACTCACTCTAACCCTCGGGAACTCAAATGCCGGAGGAGGAGAATACTATCACTGGGGGCTCCGTGACATTGGAGGATTCAGGTAGTTCATCGTTTGCCCTAATCGGCCCCACAATGAGACTAGTTAGACTGTGGATGTATGATCGCGGTAATTAAGATCATGGTACTAAATAGGACCGCGGTAAGAAATTACCCATTCTAACCTTGTCGGGATAAAATTTTGCCCGTCTCTGGTTAATTGGATACCGCATACATTCTCTTCCAGTAACCGCCTCCTTATCCTATCTCCAAACACCGACCAGAATCCTAACAAGAGTAGTTTATGGCAACACCCTGAGGTCGAGCCTGTGATGAGGAGGTTGGGGACTTCTCGGCATGCTCGGTGGAACGTGGCAGCTCTCCATGTATTCCATACTTTGTGAAGGATTCCACGACCTAGGATGCCACGAGTCTTCCCCCTCCTCAATTCCTTTCCACGACACTCAATGGGGATGGTTAGAAGCTGTATCCCTTCCCTAGCCTACCGTAGCTATGGACTAGCCGAGTGACGGGGCTGCAGCTTGGGCAAGCCCCACCTCCGATGGGAAGGCAAGCAGCGCGCCTGCGGACCTTCCTCTCGACGGCGAAGGTGTCGGCTGGGCAGTGCGTCGACGGAGGTACCACCGCTGCTCCCCCTGACCTGACCTCGCTCTCTTCCAACAATGGGATTCTCAATTTTTTATTTTTTCTAATTTTAATTCTCAACATTTTTTTTGTAGGCCCATGACATCCTTGAATGGCGTAATTCGTCCTTTGGGACATCTGTTAAAATTGGAACGATGTCCTTCGGGACATCCGTTAAAATTGGAACGATACAGAGAAGATTAGCATGGCCCCTGCGCAAGGATGACACGCATAAATCGAGAAATGGTCCAAATCTTTTCAAAAAAATAAAAAATAAAAAAATGGAACGATACAGAGAAGATTAGCATGGCCCCTGCGCAAGAAAAAATAATAATAAAAAAAGAATGGCATAATTCTGATCTGGATTACCTGTGGCCGTTCTGATCTGAATTACCTGTGGCCGGTCAGGGGCTTCTAGGCCCCACCTGCACAAATTAAGAGATACTGACCATAGATGGCAAAGATCAACGGCCGAAATCTCCTAATTTGCGCAAGTGGGACCTTGCCCCGGGTCAATGATGATACGTCGAGGCCGTCGCCATTCAAGAAAGAAAATTTGAAAAAACTCGAAGTGTGTATGACCTCATCCCTCAGCCTCTTAGGGCCTCGGTCCACTCACTACTCTCGACATTCACAAAAGACAAAAATCACGGCGGTAAAAAACCGAAAAAAAATAAAAATCGCGGCGGTGTACTTTCCATGTTCTAGCGGACGATTCACTGTCGTTTTGTACATTTCGAGACTACCGTCTTCCCTCGAACACAACGCACCATCATTTTGACTGTATCTGGCCGGAAATACAACTTGTATACATTCATTTTCAGGGTGCGTTATGTTCGGGGGAAGACGGTAGTGGCGCGAGGCCCTTGGGATGGAACTCGAGTGGAAGCGAAAATGAGGGTGGTGGGGACCACTCACCAAATGCAGTGCACGAAGGACAAAAGTTATGGCGGTGTATTTTTTTTTATTTTTTTTTGAAGTCCAGGGTGTTGTAGGGGCCAGTCAGTGTGTGCACAGTGATCACCTCCCAACCCAGCCTCACGTCAATACTCCTAGCGCACCCCCTATCCCACTATTCTACCTCAGTGTGACCAGCACTCAGGACCACTGCCCTACCAACGGGCATGGCGGTGTATCTCCCGATGTGTTAGGGGAAGATTGCACATTTGGTGAGTGGTGCGGCGAGGCGGCCCCCTGAGTCTGACTGGAGTCTACCCGGGGCAAGGCCCCATTTGCACGGATTAAGAGATTGTGGCCGTTGATCTTTGCTATCTACGGTCAGTATCGCTTAATTCGTGTAAGTACCTAGCCCCCGCTTCGCTTCGCTTCGCGTCGCGTGAACTCGCCTTCAACAGCGTACGCAGCGGCGGGAAAAGGGAAGGTGCGGGAGTGGAGGGTCGGTGACGATCGGCGGGCGAGAGAGCAGACCGCTCCCGCCGGGTTTAGCTCAAGCGCGGGCGAGGGCCGACGTGGCGTACAGTAGTTGTCCCCACCACTGCGCACGTGGCGGAAAAGGGCGCCTAATAAGTTATGACGGAGCGGAATTAGAATTATTTCTGGAGGGGCGCGGAACTGGGAGGGGACCTGAGTGGGGTGCGGGAGGGATAGCCCCGAACCGTCGCAGTGTGCGATTGGGCTGCGCGCGCATTGCGCGGGTCGTTGATCGGTCGGCTTTCCGATCACTGTTTAGCGTCGGACTATACGACACTCGGCGACTCGGCGAGTAGATGGTCCTGGCTGGTCTTATCGTCTTCCCCCGAACGTAGCGCACCCTGATAATGAATGAATGCAAGCTGTTTTTCCTGTCCGGTGCCGCCATAATGAGGGGGTGCGTTGTGTTCGGGGGAAGACGGTAGTTCTGTTCCACGTAGGTGTCCCCCCATGCTCGCTGCCTTTCTCGATCCTTCGTTATGATTGGTCCTTTCTTTTTCTCACGGATTTGGTCATCATCTCGCTTGTCCGCCTTATGTGTCGTGGAGTCGTCTTGTCGACGAGACGATTTCGGTGGAGGAACGTGGCAGTGGCCGCGTGGTGTGGGTGCATACTGTGGGGAGCAGCGAAAGAAATGCGCGCGCGCGCGCGCGCCGACTGCTGCGCTTGCGGGGGTTGAGAGAAGCTATGTTCCTCTTCTTCCCCCAAACCATCTGAGGGCATCCTCACACTGTAGTGCCATTGCAAGTCACAAGTGGAGGTACTTGCGGTGACGTGGATCCGTTCCAGGCTGCAAAAGCGGTCAGATGCATCCAGGTGTGAATATGGCCTGAATTGTAATGAAGTTATAAGATAGCAAAAAAAAAAAAAAAAAACCGGCAATGAAATTTGTCAGGAAGATTTTCTTCGTGTCGCGAAGATTCTCTAGGAAGAGCAGCAGAGCCATGGGAGGCTCCCTGAGCCGACTGAGAAAGGCTCGCGCGTGTGTGGTTGGGCTGTGTGCGCGCGCGCGCGTGTATTTGCGCGGGAAAGAGATGGCGGATCTGCGATCTGATCGTCTGTAGATAAGAGGAGGAGCAAGGCGGATGTGTTTTTTTGGCGCGCAAAAAAGCAAGGCAGATGTGTTTTTTGGCGCGCAAGAAAGCAAGGCAGTCGGAACAGCGGAATAGTCGGCAGGGAGGTGGAGGTTTTATTTGGCGGGAAAAAAAAGAGGTCATTTGTGTGTGGGGGAGGGGGGGGCGGAGGGGGCGGGTGTCATCCAGCAAAAGTTGGGGGACAATTGGGGGTTTTTGGCGGGAATTGTACGGCATTTGCCGTAATTAGGCGTCATTTGGCGGGAATTGGCAGTTTGTGGTTTAAGCTGGTATTTGAGAGAGCAAGCGAGACGCTGAAAGAATGAAAATGAGAGGAGAAGGAGAGTGAAGGAGGAGAGGGGAGAAGGAGGAGAGAAGGGAGGTGGTGGTGGTAGCAGGGCCGGGAGTGGGAGTGGTCTTAGCGGGCGGCCACTCCCCGAGTGGGGCCAAGGAGAGAGCCTCTGTTGGGAAAGGCAGCGGAATAGGACCCTCAGGAGGAGCAGGAGGAGCAGGTGAGGCAGGTGGGGAAGATGGATTATCGCCCGGCCGTGCTCCTGTACACTGCACTCAGTCTGGGCGGCTTGGTATGGAGGGTTCGCGTGGCAGTTCAGGGAGCCGCCGGCGTGCTTGGAAAAGCTCCTTTGTCTCTGGAACCAGGCGACGGAGCCGACGTGCTCAATGTCCTTCTTCAATCCCGGCTGACCATTGCGCTCATCGTCAATCTTGCTGCTAATGCCTTCCTACTGATCGCCCTGTTCACCAAGGTCTGTAATACCTCCCCTCCATCTCAGGTTGTCTGTTGCTGTGTCCTCTTCATATATCTGTATCCATCTTACCACTCTCTTTCTCTGTCTCTGCCCTTTTCTTCTTACTCTCAATCGGATCTTCCTCTCTCTCTCTCTCTCTCTCTCTCTCTTCCCCTCTCTCTCTCTCTCTCTCTCTCTCTCTTTCTCTCTCTTCCCCCTCTCCCCGTCCTGTCTCTCTCTCT